GATTTACTGCTCACTTCGCCCACCCAACCCCTCAATCGCTACAATCATTTTTCGTTTCTTTACAATAGACAGATTGTTAAGTCTAAATTAAAAAGCATTCCAGTGAAAGATACCAATTTTTTTCCCTTATATCCAGCACATAGATTTGATTTCACAACAAGATTTAAATACATAAATTTAACTTCTGATTCTTGATTAAGGATATTAACAGTATGGAAAATTCGAATATCCAATTTTTTTTCTATGATTAACTGCTCACTTCGCCCACCCAACCCCTCAATCGCTACAATCATTTTTCGTTTCTTTACAATAGACAGATTGTTAAATCTAAATTAAAAAGCATTCCAGTGAAAGATATCAATTTTTTCCCCTTATATCTAGCGCATAGATTTGATTTCACAACATGGATTTAAATTCATAAATTTAACTTCCGATTCTTGATTAAGGATATTATCAATATGGAAAATGCGAATATCCAGTTTTTTTATGACTTACTGCTCACTTCGCTCACCCAACCCCTCAATCGCTACAATCATTTTACGTTTCTTTACAATAGACAGATTGTTAAATCTAAATTAAAAAGCATTTCAGTGAAAGATAGCAATTTTGTTTCCTTATATTTAGCACATAGATTTGATTTCACAACATAGATTTAAATTCATAAATTTAACTTCCTATTCTTGATTAACAATATGGAAAATTCGAATTTCTATTTTTTTATGATTTACTGATCACTTTGCGCACCCAATCCTTCAATCTCTAAAATAGTTTTTTTTTTACTTCGTTACAATAGACAGATTGTTACGTCTAAATTAAGAAGCATTCAAAAGAAAGATACCAGATTTTTTTTAATGTATATTTTGGTCTCGCAAATTCAGTTTCCAATTCTATGAGGATAAAATTTAAAGTAATAAATTTTCTAATTCATGAACAATTTTGTTTAATGTTTTCCGTTCAAGAGATCATTTACTAATAGTGCTATAAATTATTTCTTAAAAATGTTTTACAATTTTCATAGGATTGTTTTTTAATAAAGATTCACCACTTTCAGTTTGAAGAGTTCATTTTCAGTAAGATTTTTATTTCAAATAATAATCAAAATAAAATAAAAAAAGTGACTGTAAAAAACACAAAGAAAGAGTAATAAATAAATATAGAAGGCTTCGTTATTCATAATATTTTGATATTTAAAATAAATAAATATTTTGCAAGTAAACAAAGCCTTTTATTATTTGTATGTCAATAACAACAAGAAAATCTTGATTTTCATAATAGAAAAATTGGACTATTTCAAATGCATCAAATCGGTCATCAATTTGATTTGATTTTATGAACATATATTATTCTCAAAAAACTTATTCCAAGAAATGATTTGTCAAATTATGTTAAGTATTATTAGTCTTAGTCATAAAGTTCGAACTGGGAGTCTGGGGTCTTAGGTGGGCTCTTTTCCCATTCATCTTGAAATATTGGACTTTGTGGTGGATCAATATGGTAACAGGAACTCAAATTTGGATGAAAAATATTGAATAAAAGGGCACTTTGCCTAAAATTGATAGAGATGAAATTGATAAGTTAGCAGACACAAAACAACAGATGAAGAGTAGCAATTGATGAACAGAGAGAAATAATTAAATGACTATATAGAAATGAAGACATTTTAGATGTGATGTTGAATGGTTAGTACGGCATTACTTGTGATGTAGTGAGCAAGATAAAGGATATTTTACAAGTTTTGAGTACAATTTAAATTTCATATATAAATTGGTAGAAAAATGTATTCTTTTTTTCTGTGTTCTTTTATAATTTTTTTTGTTCACATTAAAAACTTCCGAGCTGCTTCATAAACCTATAATTGGATCTTTAATTAAATTTTGTATTCTAGTGGGCATAGATTATCTTTAGTTTCTTAGATTTATGTTTATAACAAAATAAATTTCCTAACATTTTTTACATTTTGAGCAATTTGCACAAGAAAAACAGGAACTTCCAATTTACATCTAGTCTCAAAGGGCTAGTGTACAAATGTCTAAATTATTGATTTATCGTGATAGACAAAAGTAAAAAATTACGCTTAAAAATAACAAAAATTAAAAAAATTCACAATTAAACAATTCCACAACTAAAACAGGATTGTTGTTACCGCTGAAATAATTTTTCTCAACATTCCTACACGTTGGCATCTAAAACTCTCAACAGATAAGTATTCACGGTCACTAATAAAAAACGATCTGAAGAAAAATTCTCGGAAATAGAAATAGCATCCTGACAATGACATTAAAATAACTCTATCCAATTAATGTCTCACAACTCATTTATTAATTTGAGTTCGAAAAAGTTACGCAACAGAATATCAGATCTATCTAAAAGACAGCCTAATTGATACATTCTTTGTCACGCTAAGAAAGAATAAGAAATAAAAATGGCGTCATTGTTTTCGAAATTGTTTTCTAAAGCGTTAGTTTATGGCGATACGAAAAGTTTATAGTTCGTCATTCTTAGAATATAGTATGCAGCTATTGTAATATATTTGAGTAGAAAAGTCTTGTGTTTTTATTATTTTAAACAGAATACAGTTGTTTTAAAACTAGTTTCACCCCGAGCGGAAGAAAATATTGCCTATTTTAATGGGGGCAGCGAACCTAACATGACAATAAATATGCAAATGAGTTTCTTGTATTGAAATGAGAAACATTCAGCATTTCACATCATAATTTATTTTAGTAATTTTATTCATTTTTATTAGTCTGGTGTTTGATTACTTCCGGCTAACTGATTCAAACACTATCAACACCAGCTGCATTAGTATAATTTTAATTCTTTAACAAAAAAATAATTAGAACGATGATAAATTGTCTATCTTATACTTACTAGATTGATTTACTCATTATGCTAAGTTACATTAAATCCTATTGGTATTAATGAAAAATTTTTTCAATTTAAGTGTAATTTTGGAAAACATAAAACTATCTAACACACACGCTATTTACCGAATTTCAATCAATCCGGCATACCTGCCAACTTTCACTCTTTCCGAGAATGGATTTTCAGAGAGGTTGTAAAACAATAAACGAAAAACAATCTGACTCAAAAATATATTTATATTTTGATCCCGTTGAAATTCGCTTGCAGTATTATTATGCTTTTATGTATTTATTGTAATTATTTATATGTAGTGGTGGTCAAACTCATTTATAATTATCATTGAGGAGTCCAAACTTTAGCCCGCTCTCCTGACCAAACTATTGGGACCATATTTCCCAGATTGCGGCTATTTTGAGAGTCAGAAATCTGAATCTGTCGAAAAAAAGATATATTTATTCAGAGAAATTACGTTTTTGTGTCTGGTTTTGTAATCTAAAAGATCGTCTGCCACTTATTAATTAGCGTATTTGAGGTCATCCTCTCCGGCCATTAAGATTGAGTCCTAGAACGTGAAAGTCCGATCATTAGATCAATAAATTATTTAGAGTGGTCCTCGCAATGTACCCTGTAAAAAATTATAGCATGGCGTTAAGTCCATTGATCCCGATAGCCATGGGATTGAGGACTAATCACATACCAAGAAGCTGAAGACTCAATGAGCCTTAAATTCTGCTACAGTTTATAAAACACATTAGTGTAATCTTAGAAATTCATGGAACGAACTTAATTACCTATCAAATGTTTCTTAAATAACAAAAGTTATTCAGGGTGGTCCGCNTTTTTTTTTTTTTTTTTTTGCTCACTGTATGTGATTTTCTGCTATTTCCACCTTAAAAGCATTGGTCAGCAATAGGAGGTCATAATAATATCTAATCAAAGAACGCCTAGTTTAGCAAGATTCTATAACTGATCTTAAAATTATTCAACCGTGATAGTAAATACCATTTTAAAATTCTGAGTTCTAATGGATCAAAGTTTTTAAACGTATCTCTCGTGGTGAGAATGTTAAAATGTTGCCAAAAGATCTGAAAGCTTTAGATCCTAACTGTCTACCACTCTATAAAATATTTTGCAAAAGGCGTTTTAATAAGCAGCCCTGCATAGTGGTAACAAATGAAGAAAATATTCAATCAATGTTTCCGTTTTCGCTACCGCTATTAGAATTTCTAAAAATCAGGGGGAATTCTGTTTTCGCCGATTTCTCCCGATCAAAACCGCTTGGTTCCATTAATTACAGAAATGACAATTTCACCACTTTTAGCCAAAGTGAATTGGTAGACTTAACGGACAATGCCATTTTGTTTCAATTATTTCGATGTAAGGCTTTTAATTTTTTTCAGAATTAACTAAAATTCTGCAATTAAAATTAAAACTCTTTTAAAATTCAAAATTAACTAACTTCGTGTTTAATTTTTTTATCATTTTATAAAATTTTTTGCTAAAAGCGGAACAGTTGGCATCACCAACTAAGTAATAACCATTCATTGTCGATTAAATTAAGTTGATATTTTATTTTGATATCTAACAATTAAATTTTGTAAAACTCTCAGTTCAATAATTACAATTCTGAATTAGATGCATTATTCATTGCTATTAGAATTCATTCATTGTTGTCTAAATTAAGATTGATATTTTATTTTGATATCTAACAATTAAATTTTGTAAAAATCTCAGTTCAATAATTACAATTCTGAATTAGATGCATTATTCATTGTTATTAGAATTCATTCATTGTTGTCTAAATTAAGTTGATATTTTATTTTGATGTCCAACAATTAAATTTTGTAGAAATCGCTGTTCAATAATTGCAATTCTGAATTAGATGCTTTATTTTACTAATAACAGTGAATGTCCAAACAAGCATATTTCTGTTTCTTTGAGGTAAATATAATAGTTAAATAAATATACGACCAGATTTTATTATTTATTTTTCAAAAAAAAAATCCTTAATAAGGGCGATTAAGCACAAGTTGATCTAAAAAAAATCACACAAATTCCGCAGTGTTGACCTTTATGAAATTGTCCATGAGTTACAGTTTTAGTTAATTAATCAAAATACTTTTCATCTTTTTCAGCATCGAATCTAGTTTCAGATGTGAACATAGCCTGTAACAGTAACACAATTCAAGTGACTATAACAACATCTTCCAACTTCAACGGGATGATATATCCGAAAGGTTTATCCAAAAACTCAACCTGCATGACAGAGTATAATAATGCTGGTCCACAGATCACGTATACATTACCTCTCAGATCCTGCAATACTATGAGTGCTGATTCGGTAAGCAAAACCTTTTACTTTGCAGTCATGATAGTACTCTAAAAGTTGTACTGTGTGCAAAATAATAAACAGTACATAAATGACTTTTTATCTAATTATCTGATTTTTACATACTAAGGTTCAATCTTAATTTTTTGAGGACCTGACCTCAAATCGGCTTCTTAATCGACGATATTTTAAGTTACGATAAATAAGGCACAAAAGCGTACTTTCTCTGAACAACGGCGGATTTGGATTTCTGATCCCAAAAATGTAGGAGATACCTGCAATCTGGGAAATATGGTCCAAATAGTTAGTCACGAGAGCGGTTCAAAGTTTGGATCTCTTAATGATAATTTTACTTTTTGTGTATTTCGACATATCTCGAAAACTTTTTAAACGAATTAAAAACTTTTTGCACTCAGTTAGACGATTCGTTTAAGATTCTAAAGATCATTATAATCCACAAATAAAATTTAGGAAGCATATATTATTTTTTTGCATTTTATTTTTTACGGCCAATACAATTTTGTGTTGTAAGGTATATTTTTTTCCCTTCGTATTTTTAAACAATTTAATTTTCGAACGAGAAACAATACATTCGTTTGATTTTATGATCGTAAAAATTAACACGAATTGAACCTATTAACCCGTTTTTATCCTGACTTTTTATTCTGAAGGGGTGCAAAAAGTGGCTTTTTGAAAAAAGTGGTATAATATGTTATTCAACTAAATGGCTAAGATCAACTATTTGTTTCCATTTCATTTCGAAATGTCCCTCCACCTTATAGTTCTAGATATAGAGATAGGAACTTAAATCACTAATAAATTATAGTGGAAGGAAAACTTTCAATTCTTCTAGATGAAAGGCAAAATTGAAACAATTATCCTACCACAATATATGTCTTTGAAAAAGGAAACTGTCCTATAAATATGACGCTGGACACTAACAGTTAACCTGTTAGTGTCCAGCCTAGTTGCCTAGTCACTAAAAGTGGTCTGTATATACAAAACAACTATACAAAAAAGTAATAGAGTATTTATATACCTTGACCTGCTTCTTCAAAATATTAAAAACTGATAGTAAAATTTTTACACAGATTTTTGAAAACTCACTGCTTCATCTTTCTAATTTAATATTCTAAGATGTGAAATCTCTTGAAAAAGCAAGGATTTCAATTTCAATGCTGCGTCGCATAGGCATGCGACGCCGACAAAAAAGGGGTTAAAATATTAATAATTGGCCACAATAAGTGGTCCTTATGTCAATAACGCTTATAGGAAAAACATAGTAGCATGTATTTTTTAATAACAAGTAGCAGTTTTTGTCTGTTTCCTACCCCTTTTGCGTTAAAAAAGCAATGATTCTAAATACAAATATTAATATGAGTAATATTTATACATTATGGTAGACGAAATGATCCTGTTTCTACTAAATAAATCCATATAATAGCACTCTTTTGCTGCCATTCTCTTTTAAAAAAGAGTAAAAAGTGATATCTTAAGTTTTTGTCATTGGAAATTATTTTTCAAAAACAAAATAGTTCTGTCTACAATTGTACAACAATTGTAAAATACAAAAGTGCTTGGATCTGAAGTCAGCACACTGTGACATTTTAAGTGTGGAAGGTTATAAGAAAATGTATGTACGGTGTAAACAAATTGGTATAACCACTTTTTTTAAGAAATATATATATACATAACATGATTTCTTTTCGTTGTCGCTTAAAACGAACTCCATTTTGCCCCCCAAACTTTATTTTTGTCATGTATATTTCTAAGTCTAATTTCAGGATGAATGGGAAAAGGGCAGTAAGGCCTCAGACGCCCAGTTCCATTACAACGAACGAACGATTGTCTTTTAAAACGAACTCCATTTTGCACCCCAAACTTTATTTTCGTCATGTATGTTTCTTAGTCTACTTTCAGGATGAATGGGAAAAGTGCAGTAAGGCCTCAGACGCCCAGTTCCACTACAACGAACTGACGAATTGTCGCTTAAAAGCAAACATCATCGATATTTTAATTTACTATTTGTTCTTTACTGCTGTTGTAAAAATGTTGAGATTATTGGACATATTTCAAATTTACTACTCTCTCAAATATTTTAAATTTGAACCTGATTTTCGCAACTAGAACTTATGAAATTATATTTGTTATGAAGTTATGCACATATGAAAAATACTATTTTATTATGTTTCAAATTCTGAATTTTAACGGCGATATGGTAAATTCCGTCATTCCTAACACTGTTATGGCTTCTTTAGGCAAAATTACAAAAATGAGAAACATTATGTGATTCAGCAAGGCATTGTATTCAAAGACAAATGCTTTTTAGACAAAGTATGAAATGTGAGAATTATGCAAAAGAAATATTGCAATATTAATTTGTCAATATCTATCTATTTAAACATTACTGAACTGTAGACCAATGAAAAATAATATTTTGTATATTCAATAATTTTTTTAAGAAATACAGATTTTACTTTAAATAGCTTATTTAATTATTATACCAGATAAAGAATACTTGACAATGACCTAGAAATCCCTGCCGGGTTAATCTGGTTATTATTAAGTCGACCGGGAAAAAAAAAAAAAAAGAAAAAAAACGCTGCATCATGCAAGGATGCAAAATGTGCCTTTATTAAAAAGAAAGGTGTTAGAACTTTTACGCTAAAATGTAGATATCAAATCCACTGCTTAATTTTGTCGGATACTTTCCTTGCACGTTTGAATATGTATGCGCATACTCTTATGAGTCATATATGTTGTGTCTCTTTAAAATAAAATATTGCTATTGAGTTAACCCTTTTGAAGGCCGTGGTAAGTATACATACCACCACATTTTACCACTTTTAACTTATGTTTCCATTTTTCAATAACTTCAGCTTTCTTGAAGTGAGTTTGAATAAAATTGGTAACCATTTGTCCCTTTTAAAAAAACGCATAAAAGTTATAAATACATAATTCCTTTTGAAGTTTGTAGCATTTAAGGAATTTATTTAATAAATAAAGAAAAATAAAAGTCAGTAAGTACCTAATAGGTCATGTTAAATATATTTACCACCAAAAAAATGGCATTTTCATAAACTAAATGAGTTTTTTTTTATATCAATTACTGTTCTTAAAACAATTTCAATTCCAAAAATACTTTAATTTACCTTTACTAGAAATAAAGGGCCCGTTAAAGGGTTAAAGGGTAAATACCCTACCTCTTTCTTTTAAAATACCCAACGGCATCTCAGTTCTCAATCAATTATTGAAGTAATAACCACTAGGAATATTTTTTCCTAATGGTTAATACTGCAATAATTTAGAATTAGTATAATTTTGTCCGCCACTATACATAAATAGTTTAAGCAAATATATCAAAGGTCTTCCTCTTCTTGAGCTCTTAATAAGGAGTTTATAAAACTTAAACAATTTTTAAAATTTTGAGCTTTAGTTCCCAACCTGTGAAAATAATGTATTGTAAAAGATTTGAATTGTTGCTAGTGCAATCTATTTCTTATTTCTATTGCAAATTTCCATGACAAAGTTGATGGTTGCGCAAAACATCCGTACGGCGTTCCTCCAACACTGTAATCCTTCTCATTAATGCTGCTAGAATTATAAGGAGTTCTTTAAAACGTATTTTGCAACAGGTTAATGATTCTAATATCCTTACCTCATATATGAACGTTTTTGTATTTTGTTGATGAATGAATGTTGCACCAGATGATATTTTTCACCTTGTATTTGTTATCTTTTACAGAATGAGGGTATTGAGTATTTCAACACTGTTGTCATTCAACCCCACAGAAGACTAGTCACCAGTCAAGGTCGTGGATATCATGTTAGATGCCGATATCAGATAAAAGACCAAACAATTACATCCAATTTCAATGTTAGGTAAGTGTAAACTACCATTGGTATCCTCTTCGTTTTTTCATACCTATACTGGGGTGCCAACTGCTTCGAATCACATACAAAAATTTACAGAATTTTGGTTAGTTTTACCAATTATTTGAAGGGTTCAATCTTAGCTAACAGTAACGATGTGGCTTTTTCTACGAGCTTTTTAATAATATTTATCTAGTGACGGATAAAAATCCCTTAAATCTGATTTTCTTAAACTAAGAATCATACATTAAAACATTACTATTCGAAAACATTTCCCCCTAGGAAGTTGGTATTTAGGAAGTTGGTATCTCTGCTTGTCTATAGAAGGCCTTATTTCTGAGACAATGTTGAGTTACAAAAACAAAAGTGGTGGCAAATTTCTGACTATTTGTAACAGGACGTTTCATGCTTTGTTTGTCACTTTGATTTCAGATAGTTACATCAAAAGAACGCATTACATAAGCTAAATTATTTTCCGTATTTTACGTTCGTAATTCTCTGATAACAGGTTATAAACCTTGACAGTTCATCACAATTTTGTTTTTATATTCTGAAATAAATATTTAAAGTATAATGTTAAAAAACGTGTAGCATGCGTTCGAAGGAATTGTTTAAACTTCGCTAACACCAAATATTTTAAAAGATGTTAGTGGGAACTTATTTCTGTGTAGTTCGGGTTATAATCAGTATAAAATAATTTTATTGAACTAAGATAAAAAAAATATTAAAAAATATATTTTATGACCAACAAATACAAAAAGAAAATCTCCCGATAAAGTAAAGAAATTCGGAAATAGTAACCCTAATTTTCGATTGAAAGTAAATAGAAATTAATAACTAGGAAAGGAAGTAACATAGTTATGAATTCAAAATACTTTAATGTTATGGCATTTCTTATAGCAAGACTGACTAATACGCCATAAATTGTTAATCCTTAAAAAGCATGGATGAAAACGCTATTGCTTATTAATTTACGGTTTTGTTTTAAAACATTGAAAAATAACAAAAATTGCTAAAATGAAAAATAAATAAAATAGCAGCAAATTTCAGAGAATGTGTCGAGTGTATTTTTTCACTTTATTTACCAAACATAGTGCCGTTCGAGCAAATAAATACATAACAAGAGCAATTTATGTATATTCTTGCATTGGTGATTTTAGATATTTTCATGAGTTCTTGACACTGATTGCGAACAAGAAAATTTTTCTAATTTTTTTTTAATGATTAACAAAATTCTTTAATTAGAGTTAAAAAATTAGTAGCAAAATGTTTTCGTTTATAGTCAGTTCCTCAGAAGTATGGGCACATAATAATTGTTGAGATTATTTAATTAATTAATAATGCCAGTTAATTAGTCAATTTAACTAGTTGACTAACCTTGCACTTTAAAAAAAGTTCGCGCTAAAGCAGAAAAACTATCAACTGCGCATTATCTTTAAACTTTATTATTTTTATATTTTCTGATTAAGTTTAAAAAATTAAAGTTACCGTTTATTTAATTGAGCCAGTTAATTAGTCAATTCAGCTAGTTAACTGAGCTAGCACTTTAAAAAATTAAAGTTCTAGCTAAAACGGATAACTATCAACTACGCACTATCTTTAAACATTAAGTAGAAGAAATAAAAGTACTAATTAAAAAATTGTAGTAATTAATTAAGCTAGTTAATTACTCAATTTTACCAGATATTTAAACTAGCACTTTAAAAAAATTAAAGTTTACGCAAAAACAGAAAGCTATCAACTGCGCATTATCTTTAAACTTGCACTGTATTTCATTTTGACACTTTTTTTAAAACATTGTCCTTTTAATTGCCTTTCTTCTTTGCACTTTTATGAATATCCTCAGGATTTCTTAATCAGCAAAATAACAGTAGATCAAGATGCTCAAAACAGTGAATCACGGTATAAGTAGAAGGGAAAAAAAATATTGGAAGGTGGAATTGGTAGACGCTGATAACGGTTGTAAAGCCATTAAATAAGAAAAAAGCTGTAAAGACCCTAAAAAAAATAACGGATTAACGGCCTACAGAAGATGGAGGTATTGTGACTCCAGTTGATCACCTTGAATATTGACCTTTACCTCCTGTTGTACCTTTGTCTCAGTTAAAGAAAAGGAATCAAAGAAACCCTCATAATTTGATGTTTTCATTCTTTTGTAACTGTCTTTAGAGGTTTTAGTCATTAGCATTTTTATATGCTTTTTTAACGACTTTACTTGAAAAGATTCTCCCAATATAAAATTTTCGTGACAAAGAAGCAGAATATTCCTTGTTTAAAAATCTATAACGCGTAATTTACTAATCGGGTAATGTGGGGAAAAGTGTGTAAATTGCTAGTTGTGGACATTGATGATTAAAAATCCATTACACTCAAGGGCACTTATGTATAGAGTATTCGACCGCTTCATTCAGCTTTTGTTTGCTCTTTACAAAACAACTAGTGAAAATGCTTATACACATAAGAACGGAGCTAAATTTCAAAAGGAAATCAGAGAAGAAGGAAATTTTTAAAAACATAGGATCAGATTTTCGGAAGATCAGACAGTCACAGATCACATATTCAGAAGATCTGAGTTTTAAAAATAAATCAGAAACGAAATAAAATATTCCTTGTTTAAAAACCTATGATGCGTAATTTACTAAACGAGTAAAAAAAGGTGTGAATTGCTGGTTGTGAATTACCATTAAAACTCCTTAACAGTCAAGGGCACTTATAGAGTTTTCGACAGCTTCATCCAGCTTTTATTTGTTTTCTGCAAAATAACTAGTGAAAATTCTTAGACTCATAAGAAAAGAGTTAGTTTTCAAAAAGAAATAAGAGAAGAAACAGGGCTTACAGTGATTTATCAGCAAATAATAATCCACTAGGAACCAGCACTTTTAAAAAAAAAAAAAGATAAGGAATGGTTTAAAAAAATATAAGGAAATTAAGAGATAGTTTCAATTTTATATTGGAAAAACAAGGCATTCGTATTGTTCAAAGAGAAAAAAAAAAGAAAGATATATATAATGCGTTGTTTCCTTAATGGAAAAGATGGAAGAGAAAAAAAAAAAAGAATTGTGTCCTAATAATTTCTCCCTATGAATTGTGCAAAGATGTAGAAAACTATATAGTTTATAACTGCCCTCATAACTGATGAATATTTGCACATAAGTTATATTTTTAAGCGAAATATCTTCATTCACGAAATGAATTGTCTTCACGTTTTTTACCCATGCAACTGTATCTTCGCTTTCAATCCTTATACCATTGCGTGTCCAAGTTTTGTGAACCAGTAAAACATTATGTACTAACCAGTATACTTTACAATCCGAAATTTTTTTCGACTATTATTAAATAAAATAATAATAAATATTTCCTAAAATTTATTTTTTGCATCAAATTATGAATTCTATAATTGTATGCAAAAAAATTTCTAAAAAATCACTTAAAAAGTTCTCGAGATATGGTGAAATACGCAAAAAATAAAACTTGAATTATGAGGTTTAAACTTTGGATCGCTCTCCTGGCTAAACTATGGGGAACCTATTTCCAAAGTTGCGGCCACCTTGGAGGTCGAAAATCCGAATTCGTATAAAAAGAGGTATGTTTATTCAGAAAAATCAAGTTTTTCTGTCGGAGTTCGTAACTTAAAATATCCTCTGCACCAATTAATTAGTATATTTGAGGTCACTCCCTTGAAGCATAAATACTTAGCTCGGACCCTGCAATACGTATAACTTATATTCTCAGATGGATCACCGGTAGCTGCATTGTAATCAGTCATAACTCAAGTAGCTGGGCGTGATAACCATCATCATTTACTCCAACCTATTGAGCTCTTTCAGGTAAATCTAAATCATCTACTGATGGGTGGTGTGTCCTTGTTGTAAATTGCTAGGGACATTCTGAAAATAGTCAGAAAAAAAACAGCATTTTTTGATGTTTCGAAAATAATAGTCGTCCTTGAAACAGGAAAAAAAAACTCTTTTCAAAATTTGTGAGAACAACGAACCATTAAAAAAATATTAGTGACTTCTAACCCAGGGCTAAAGAGAATAGAAGGGCTAGTTCATTCCGCTCTTAGAGCTGAAGCTACGATTTCTCTCCTCATGACGTCACTGTATACACAGATTTCGGAGATCGCTAGCGAAGATATTATGATAACTTTGCATCTTTCTCTCTGTAAAAATAAGTTAGACTTTTTCTGGTTATTAGATTTCAAACTTTACATAAATAACACATTATTTCCGTTCATAAACATAGTTCAAAAGAACTTTCTTGGCCATTGTATTTAAAAAATACCATTTTAAATGTATAAAAATATTTTACTAGTTGGCGAAAATGACACTATAAATACTTTATTTTAAAAAGTTCAGTTTTAACTTTAATTATTAAGAAAAGCATATATCGACACTTTTTTTATCGACATAATCTTTGATAACTGTAAGTTGGGTTAAATTTAGAATCCTGATTTTAAAATATTCCGTTTGATAGCAATTTGTTCATACTTCAGAAAACATCAACCTTAAACGCTAATTACTGAAACAAAATAATAACTTAGGTTCATAATGATATTTGAAATTTTACAATTGCTTATGGATATTTAAATTTAAGATAATATAATTTATAGATATTTAGAATAACTACATTAAAAAATATGTTATGAAATTAGGAGAATTTTAACTATATACTATATATTTTATTTATACTTTTTATTTACGCTTTAATTTTCTTTGACTTTATCCATTTTTAATATTTTTGCCTGCATTTCTTGTTAAAGTAACGATGCGGTTTTTATTAAAATGGTGAATTTTTATAAAAGTTCTTAGCAATCGAATAAACGTATTTTGCTGTTTTATATTAACTGTGTCATTTCGTTTGCAATTCGTTGAATCCATTCTTTACATAGTTGTTCATTTACTTTAGGGAACACGTGGAAAATTATATTTTTTCCTTTTGTGTTTCTATCAGAATTTTTGCAAATTGTAATCGCGCAAACTGGCATTTCATTAATAGTTTTAAATTTTTGCAAATTCACTGCAATAAACTGAGGAAAATCATTTTATAAAAGAACAAATGTCTTGGAATATGTCACAAAAAGGAATGTCCCAATGTTAGTTAGAGCTAGTTAGACCGAACGCTCCGTTCTTGAAGTAAAAGTGCAAGCTTCGAGCCACAGTGACGTCATTGGAGAAAATCGGAGGTTTGGCGCTGTGAAAGATACGAGTTTCTTCAAACGAGTGATCAGCCCTTCTATTCTCTTTAGCTTACCAATCTAAAGCTTACTCTATATTCTTACCAATCTAAGTTTTTTTTTTTTTTTTTTTAAAAAAATTCCTTTTTTTTTTTTTAAGACAGAGTCTTGCTCTGTNATAAGGCTGTCAAACACTGTGCTTTTTTCATGTAGTGGTAGACAATGAAAGACTATAGTTTCAAAAGTTTGGTAATTTTGCCCACGAGATAACTGTGGTGAAGTCACTTTTCATGAGAACTTATGAATTATTTGCATATGGTGGTGTGCAAAACCAAATTTACAAAGCAGTCATAGTTTAAAAATGTAGCATTTGTGTAAAAACTGTAATTCTGTTTCTGTAAAAACTGTAGCAATTCTGTGAAAAATTTGGAATATAAAAATATTTTGACTTCCTCGGAGAAAGTCAAAATATTTTTGCATTCCTGTGGAGGAGAATGGAAACTTCTTTTAAACATTTCTTTCTCGGTATATAACTTAGCTGGGGGCTTAGTTGAAACCCTTAGTGGGACAGAAAAATGTGAACCAAATAAATTAATCTGTTTTATTTTTATATTTTCCATCTTTAAATTAGTTTATTTCATTTGATTTCGTGTTGATGAATAAATATTAACTTAATCCTTATTACTTTACTAAATGACTTTCAGATATTACATGTATTGTACGCAATGAAACTTGCATAAGTGTGGAAATATTGAGTTATGTCTTGGAAAAAAACTTCTACATCCGTTTTTTTTTTATAGCCATAGACAGAATTTTTAGTACAAAAGATTTAATTGATAGTGTTAACTGTACATTCGCAGAGATGCCAACTTTCTTCGCTTTACAAAATAGTATTTTCTAGTGGCAACGAAATTTGAGATATATTAAGACAGTATACTAAGCTTTTTCGCCAAATCTTTTCTTAGCTTTGTTTATCACCCAAATTTTTACACTTTAATAGCTTTTACACGTTGTAAAAAAAATTCAGATTTTTAATATTTTTTGTGCAGCTCAATGCCGAAAATAGTGGTAACTATTCATACCAAAGTGGTATAAATAAATAAGTGGTTGGGTAAAAGCTCATTGCGGGACTAGATGCAATGAGGAGGCGGATCATGCAGCCAAACAGGCCATCAGCATCGGTCAGGTCAATATTGAGGTCCCGAGTACAACCGCCCAGATCAAAACCTTTTTAAAAGCTCATATGAAACAGTAGAAATTAGAGTGGCAGAGTTCTGATAGAGGCCGGCAGACGTTTACATTTCTCAAGGACCCTTCGATAAAAAGCCTACAGGCTGACTTCTATCTAAATCAATTTTTAACTGGCCGCGGGGTGTTTGGGGTACACCAACACAGGTTATTTAACAAAACTCCTAACTGTAATTATTGCCAAATTGAACAGACAATAGACCACCTAGTATTTGACTGCTCCCACTTCCAGACACTCCGTGGAGATCAGTTTGAAGGTAAAAAACCAACACCAGTGTTACGCAGAATTGGCCTGCAGGAATAAAATCAAAACAATAATCAAAACCACGCTTGAAGAGGTACAGGCAAATATAATCACCTAGCATCAGAACCTGCCTGCTCCAGACATTTAATCACTTGTCTTGTCCACTTAGGTTTACCAATTTCTCATTTTATTCGGGTGTCTCACTGTTTTTATCACCTTTTATCCTGCTGAATTTTAATTGTTTACTCAGTTTTTGTTTTGATGTTGTGATTGCTTTAACTCGACTTTTGTACTTGTTATCAGAGTTTCTCATAGCATTATATTTATTGTATGCTTCAAGAATATTGCTGTGCATATTTAATATTAAATATGAACATTTCCTATTAAATGTAAATTACCCAGTGTTATTTTGAGATGAAGTTAGTTTTTCTTCTCACTGTTATCCTTTTCTTCTTTTTACAGTATGATTGGTACAACGCCAGTTTTAGCTACTGCTCCAATGCCAACTTGTACCATGAAAATATTTGTTGGCGATCCAGACGAAGCCATTGTGGCAGAAAATGTCAAAATTGGCGATCTACTGAGTCTTTCCATAAGTATTGATTTTCAAGGTAAATTATAGAATTAAGTAATCTTCAGTTTTTTTTATGTCGAAAATATTTATACTTCTGCAGTTACTTCTAAGGTGACTAAAAATGCAAAAAAGTGTTGACTAGTAATATTCAAATTAAATTAAAAAATATTGAAATTATCGACTTTCATTTCTTTAAAGTTTACTAATGAAAGTAAGTACTAAGGATGTTTTTGTTTTAAATATGAATAAACTTTGCAATGTAAGCCATACGAGTTGTTACGATTGGAAAATTATAGAGAAGATAAATAAAAAAGAAATGAGTTTGTTCCATTTTTTGCATTTTTACATGCCCGTGGCATTCCTGTATTTGTTTAAATTTGTCCGTAAATATGCCCACACAAGGCAGTCAATAGGTTTTATCGAAGTTGTATTTAATGGTGGAAAAAAGATTTCTAAATTAATTTGTTAAGTCGATAAAAAAAATTTTAATCATAAAATTTACTACCACTATAAATGTTCCTATAAATAAATCAAGAAAACTCCCAAAATTTGAAAGTTCGACATCAAAAGTAAAGTTTTCTCTATCATTTTTCTCAAAAAATTAATATAAGTTCCGGGTGAAAATCTAAGAATATATATTATGTCAGGAATTATTTCCGGTATTGAACGTTTGATACAAAACCTTTTATTTAACAAATTTATTGTTGCGCTAAAGTCAAAGTAGAGTATTGTTCACCAATAGACCTTATCTTTTTTATTATTGCAGATGTGTACGGCATTAAAGTTACCAATTGCCTTGTGAGAGACGGACTCAACTGGGGTGAACAACCCCTCATCAATAACGAAGGGTAAATATCTGTTTTTCATAGCACACTGAACAATAGCGAAGCTGATAGACTATTCTTTTTAAGTAATTGAGTATAAAAGAAAAATTACAATAATCACGAGCGTAAAAAATTGGACATGGAGAGCTACTGGGTTTTTTCTCAAGGGCAGCCACCAAAAAAAATCGAACGTTTTTCATTTCCCTCATTGTTTAATTAAACTTAGTGAAAGTGATTCGATTGTGTTATCTCATGAAAGGAATAATAAGACACATTCCTTCGATTTTGGAATTTTTCTTGAGCTATAATTATTTTGAAGCGATTGGTTCAGAGAAAAAATCCTCAGAGTTATTTTGAAAAATAAACGAACATTTTCTTTCAATTACTTAATTCCCATATTATTTGAGAAAACAAAAGATGCATGTATTTTAGCTTTACTAATATTTTTTTTGTATTTATATAAAAGCTATTTTTATATTACAGAATATAAAAATAATTAATAATAACATGAAACTTAATGGTTTTTGTACTGATATATGAATAAGGGGAATGAGTTTTTCAGTTGCTTAAAACTCAGAATTCAATTTTATCAGCTTAGGTATTTTAATAGAAATAATTGTTACCGCAAATTTATTTGCTTTTGTCGTGGGGCAAATATTAAACGCATGTTGTTCAACAGTGTGATACAGGAAAATGTCAACATGGTCACTATCAAACTAGATTTTTCTTTTTCTTTTACGAGACTCTTAAAGGCGGCAATGTTACGTACTTAGTTGATTTTCTCATTTAGCATTTTTAATATCGATTTATAATTTCATTTTCATTTTCTTTCAAACTTTGCTAAAAATAACTTCGTTGCAAAAACACAAAGGCTTTCTAAACAAATAAACTGCTTAGTTTACTTACAATAATTTTAAAAAATTTGACAGAAGTATCAAGCATGATTTTTAAATCTGGTTACACGACAATAACTTAGACATACTACGCATAAAATAAAATTTTAATGCTTATTCAAATAGCAAAACTTAACTTTCAAAAGAGAATAAAAACATCATATTTACAAATGTTTAAAGTCATAACATTTTGCTTTAATCCTTTGTTCTCTGAGTAATATTTGAACTAATATTAGCACCAAATCAGTTAAATACACTATGCAGTATTTTCATGTAATTTTTTAAAGTTCTTAAAGTAATGAACTTAAACACAAACATACAGAGTGCCATGTACGAATGCCTATATGAATTATTTATCTAAGTCCCAGCTTAACGACTGGCTTTAACTCATTCATATGTGTGAGTTATGTATAATATTCTATCGTGCAATTCAAAAAACAACATGCTTCACGATTTATTCCAAGAAAAGTGGCTTGACAATTTTTTTCCTTCTATTGCTAATGCTGTGAACGCTAAAATAGAATTTTAAAAACCCGATGTGACAAAATTTATTTGTAATATGTAAAATAGATAATATGTTTACAATTTGTAATATGCATAGAGAGGGGAGAGCTTAATATTAGCAGGATGCCAAATGTATAAAAATCTCAATTTTGAAATTTCTGTCGCCTACTTTGATTTTTCAATTGCACGGCAGTATTGTTGAAGAACATTTGATTTGAGTACGCATGGATACAGTGATTAATAACTAATAAAGTATAAAAAAATATCAATTTTAGAGTAATTACTGTTGATGGCGCCTCAGAGGCGACATCGGAGTGCAAAGGGTTAAAGCGTGTCACAAAATTTTCTGCTGTTAACCGCAATTCGCCTAAGGGTGTTTCTATTCCATTCGCTGAACAAGGTTACTCTTTAGAATGCTCGGATGAGGTCACTATACCGCGAGCGAAGCTTTACATGCCAAAGTTTCTTTTACTTAAGTAATTTAAAACTTAAAGTATAGAAAAAGTGAATTCAGGTAGGCCTAGCGTAAATCATGAAGTTTTGAATGCTGAATTTTTTGTTTCTTCGAAATATCAAAATGCAAAGAAAATATGGCACGTTTACTCAGAATCACGCGGTGTGAAAGTGATCCTCTGATAATTTGTTTGAATTTTGATATTCTGAAAGCATTTTTTCTACATTCAAAAAATATCTCAAGCTTACTTGAACACACTTTTCTCTAAATTTTTAACCACCAATCAAAGGGAAACAGAATGAAAAGTTTCACCTGCGTTTTAGCGTCTTCTGATAAGGATAAGAATTAAATCTTGTCTCCAAGACATAAAAAACAGAAAAATCCATTGAATTCAAATCGTTTCCAATAGGTGGCAATTCTCTTTTTATGTATATAACCGTAGCTGTACAGCCGACCCAATTTTTGAGTTTACAACTACCAATGTTCAACTCCGTAGCCTTTTAATTTTGAACCCAAACTGGAAGACAAGGGAACTCCTGGATCAAGTATTAGGAGAAATTTTACCTTCGTGGAGGACGGAACTAACCCGCATTTGCGTTACATGGAGAGGAAGACCACAAAACCTCCCACGGTTAGCCTGACGGCAAAGGGACTCTGACCCATGATCCGTCCACCACTGAGGATATTTCACGTCAGCACTGTGGTCGGTGACAGCCGAATGCGGATTCGTATCAACCAGACATCGGTGGGATTCGAACCCGGTTCACCTCATTGGAAGGCGAGCGCTTTATCCCCTGAGCCATTGGGGCTCTAGGTGGCAATTCTTGTGTTTTAAGACAATAAGAAAATTTACCATGCTTCATTCTTGAGTGCTCTTAGCTCCGCGTGATGTAGCAAAATCTTCTTATTAGGCCCATTTTTAGTATTTAAATAACTTTTATGATCAAGAAAGTACAATAACAACAGGACGTGGAGGATTCCACCTACTCAAGAGTGGTACCAACAAAAACCTCCTGGGGCTGCCATAGAGCTAGAGGGCGATAGAAAACTACAGACAATCATTACCAGATTCAACAGTAGACATACTCGTACACTTTTATGCGTGCAAAAACAAAAGGAGTTTCCTATGTGCTTCAAGTGTAATTCACATCAATCTACTACAGACCATTTGCTCTTCTGTTCATAACTGGAGAAGAGTGATCTCTTTGAAAATCATGTGCTGGTTCATGGCTTTCTGTGGGTGAACGGTTTTCTTGGCTTGATCTAGCTAAGGACTGGACCAAGTGGAATAAGAGGCTACAGAAAGTTCAATATCTGCCTGATTGAGTTTGCGATGTGTTATAGAAAAACCACAACCAACCATTTCTTGTTACTCTGTAGTTTTTAAAAACTAAATATTTCATTAAATATCAGTTGCTTAACAAAAGTTTTGCAGATGCTTGCATTAATTTAAAAGTGAGAAAAAATACTTAAAAATCACGAATTTTCGCTTGGTTAAATATACTTCATTGGTACATTTCATATCTACTTATGCTTCGTTTCTTTACTATTAACTTTTGCTCTCAACCGTTATGCAAATTGTTGTTAAAACTTAACTTGATCTAGGAATTGCATGTTTAATATATGAGTAGGTTTGATATTTGAAATTATATGTTTTATCTGGTTATTCTAACTTCAGCATAATAAAGTAAACAAGCAATATCTGTCATGTCTACGGATGAATAACTCGAAAAAGGCAGTAAAATATTTTTGTTGATTTTAGGTGTCCAGTAGACGAAGACATAATGGGGCCGCTTGAATATATAAATAATAAAACAACGGCCCGTGTTGGCTTCCAAGCTCATAAATTTCCATACACTTCCTCTGTATATTATCAGTGCAACGTGAAGATGTGTCTGAAAAACGCTGGAGGATGTGAAGATGTTGTAAGTTTTATTTTCTTCTTTTCACAATACATTTATTTATTGTTATTTCTTTAGTTGTTTGGTCACAACTTAAAAAGCATTTTTAAAACGTGTTTTAAGTTTCAGATGATTTATTTTCTAAGTTTTTATGTCAATCAAACAGTTTTTCAAGGTTTCCTAAGCATGAATAACTCGGATTAAGTCTAAAACAAGTTATTGATATTATTACACGTTATTGTTAAAAAATTGTTATTCCAGAGTTGCCAACTTTTTCGGAACAGCACATAAATATTTTCGAGTGGTAGTCTTTGAATGTACGATTTTTGGTTCAGTTTTTTTTTTGGTTTTTGTTCTTCTTTTTATCTTTTTATTCATGATTAAAGCTGCTACGAGACTAAGTGTAACATAATGGAGAAGTAAAAGGCCCCACGGGGAGTAAAGGCCTCGGGCAACCAAATGACTATGATTATAACCACAGTTGTGTTGAGCCTTTGAAAATTTTTGCAAAATTAACCGAAAAACTACAGATTTTAGTTAATAGATTTCTATCGCTTCTTTAAATATTTTGCAGAATCTGAAGCAGTCGACATCTCTGTTATTCTGTTGTTGTTATTTTATTATTTTTATTATTTTATTATTATTATTATTATTATTTTATTATTATTTTATTATTATTATTATATTATTATTATTTTATTATTATTATTATTTTATTATTATTATTATTTTATTGCTATTTTTAATGTTTCCAGTTGGACACAATTATTCAGGGTCTTTTTTTTCGCGTTCGCTTTATTTTTCAACGAATCAAGAAATCTCATATGGATTTTTGAATCGGAAAGAAAGAAAGGAAAGTCGTTGATATTCAATCAGAAATTTATTGCAGCAAACAGTGAAAAATGCATTATCAATGTGGAATGCGTAGATGGAAGTCTACAATTGGGGACAAGACCCAGACCTAGACCTAGCACATATTTCGGACATTTACCAAAGGTCTAGTCATACTAGGTTTAGTTAAGTGCCATTGCCCGGTATACATTTGCCACCCTACACTGATGTTTTTTAAGGTTCAGTGCCACTGCCCGGTATACCCTACACTGATGTTTTTTAAGGTCAAGTGCCACTGCCAGGGATTCATTTGCCCGGTATACCCTACACTGATATATTTTTAAGCTCAAGTGCCATTGCCCGGTATATATTTGCCCGATACTCCAAACACTGATGTTTCTTCTAATCTATCATCAGTAAGTATAAAAATATCGAATGATTGTAATTATATCCACGAATAAATTAATATAAAATCGGATGACGCTTTGAATTTGTCATTTTTGAAGGACATTTTGACGAATCGGAGATGTATTTTATACTTTGTTTGTCGGTTTCTCATTTACCTAGAAAATGTGTGAAATATGAATCATTTCATACTTTGCCGGCTAATTTTAGGCATTCTATACAATGCCGGATTTCATACTTTGCCGGTAACATATATAATTTAACAAATGTAATAAAGGTTATGACGTAACAATGTATGCGAAAAAAAAATTTGCGAAAATTTGAAAACATTATTCCCAGCATTTCGAATGTTTTTTCATTGGCTATTCTGGCATTCAATCTCACTTGCATAGAGTGCCATGAATGCAACGAAAGAACATTAACACGTGATGCTGTTTCGTTACAGTCATGATATTTTATATCTCAAACAGCCACCCATCTGCGATGGAGGTTACAACATTCGCCGAAGAAGAAGGAGAAGCAGCGACCAATTAGAAGAAAATGGCAACCTTCTTGCTTTGAGACAAGAAGAAATTCACGCAAGAGATAGGAGCGTAGAAGTCTTTTCTGGTCTTTACGTTAGTGAAGTGGATGAACAACAATCCAGTGGTGAGATCCGTTAATAATTACTTATTCCATCCGTTAATAATTTCTATTTAAATATTTATTTGCTTGTAAAATGCAATTCTTGATTAACTGAAATATGGTTTTTCGAAGCTCTTTGGACAAAGAAAAAAAAATGCACAGTCTAAATGCCGTGTGCACTTAAAGCAAAGCTATAATTTTGAACTATATACATCTTGCCGTGAAGAATTATCTGGGATTTAGAACGGACAAATAACTTAAACTAGTGGGTTGCGCTCCCTGGTCGCTAATGCTCGCCAACCGCCGAAAACTGCTACGCAATCTTAAATGGTTTGCTTCGCAAACCATCAAGATTGCGTACATTGCAAATGCACAAAATTCTAAGAATTCAAAACAATCATTCAAATCCATATTAAAACTTTTTTTAAAAAAGAAAAATTACATCTTTTTAGTAAATACTAAGTCATTTAAATAAATTTGAATTCAAATAAATGACATGTAATTCGTTAAACCTATTAGAAATGTGCTATAGTATAAAATCTTAAAGCGTAACAACACGACTAAGACTAATTTTTCAATGAATGACAATAATAAAACAAATAAATTCGTGATATAAATCAAAAATCGTCAAATAAATTCGTAATATATAAATTCATGAAAAAAAGCGCTTTCGACAAAATACTAAAATAGAGATCGATCGACAAAGACTACTCACTTCTGCCTAACTTAATAGTTTGAGATTGCCGCAGCTGATAGGGTGAATTTCGGAAGAGATCACGTTTGGTGAGAATGCTCCCTCTGTTTATTTCCGTTTCCCTTCTTAAAAGCGCTATATGTTGAGCCACCTCAGCTAGATTTGGCATGTGACATTTTTAGCGGCAATCATTGGTCGATTTTCTAGCGTTGCCATTCGGGGAGTTGAAATGAGGCTTTTTTTGTCGCTGTGTAAGAGAAATATATATATGGATATTTTAAAAGTTAATATACTTTATTAAAAATCTCCAATTTGGCGACATATTTCCACCTAGATGAAAATTATCAGACTACTGCCTTATTCTCAGTTTTCGTAAATTTTTGTGAGCCCACTTAATGCAGCATTTGGAAAAGATTTTTAATATTAAAAAATTAGACCACGAGCTCTTTTTATCTCTATATCTTCTCTATATTGACGTTTTACTCCATTTTCAGAATAAGCACAGACAGCGCCGGTTATAAATATGCTAAACTTGACCTAACAGCCATGAGTAACTGTTACAAACTCACAGCAGTTATGAAAACAGCATATGATTCGCACAAAAAAGCATCTTTTATATAACTACGGAGCCTTCGGAAAACAGCGTCTTAAACGGCAATATTTCAGTTTCGGAACATGTTTCTTTTTTAAAATGATAATGACCGGTTACTTTGGCTATTTCAATGTTAACATTAATTTTGGATAAGCAAGGCATTTATATACACAAAATTATTTCATTAATAATAAATCTATATTTGGTTTTGAAGTCTTATCGTTGTTATATTAGAATGCCTACCGTTAAAGAAAGTCTCTTACAAAAATATCTTTTAGTGGTTCAGTTAATCGCCAGTTCTTTATAAAAACTAATTCCTATTTCTCAATATCGGACTCAAAGACGGTATTGTATTTAAGGGGACACTTCAGGTTCNTAATAGTTGAATTATTAATTATAAAACAATGGAACAGAAGGATTATAAAACAATTTGCTTATATTTTAATGGGAAAACTGAGGGTGATCAGCCTGAATAAGAATTTGGCGGGTCGCACAATATGTGCTGGCGGGCCAGATGCGGCCCGCGGGCCGCCAGTTGGACAGCCCTGACCTAGATGAAAATTATCAGATTACTGCCTTATTCTCAATTTTTGCGAGCCCACATAATGCAGCATTTGGAGTAAGATTTTTAATATTAAAAAATTAGACCACGAGCTCTTTTTATCTCTATATCTTCTCTATATAGACGTTTTCCGCCATTTTGAGACTAAGCATAGACAGCGCTGGTTATAGATATGCTAAACTTGATCCAACAGCCATGATTTACTGTTGCAAACTCATAGCAGTTATGAAAACAGCATACGATTCGCGCAAAAAATCATCTTTTATATGACTTCGGAGCCTTCGGAAAACAACGCCTTAAACGGCAATACTTTAGTTTCGGAACATGTTTCGTTTTTAAAATGATAATGGTTACTTTGGTTATTTCAATGTTAACATTAATTTTGGATAAGCAAGGCATTTATATACACAAAAATACTTCATTAATAATTTATCTATATTTGGTTTTGAAGTCTTATCGTTGTTATATCAGAATGCCTACCGTTAAAGAAAATCTCTTACAAAATTATCTTTTAGTGGTTTCAGTTAATCGCCAGTTCTTTATAAAAACTAATTCCTATTTCTCAATATCGGATTCGGAGAAGGTATTGTATTTAACAGCTACCAATAGTTTGCTGATCTCAAAGAACTTATCCAACGATAATAATGCATGGGATGGGATAGGGGCCGCTGCCCTCGCCCTGTTCATAAAACACGATCAGATCAGAAGGTATCGTATCTTAAAAACTAAGCAAGTCAAAAATCTTAGAAAAGCATCGCATTTGGAATAAAGGTCACGTAAAATTTCGTGACCAGTAGATGACTTGTATATTAAGCCTAATTCGAAGCTAAATGAAGAAAATAATACTAATTCAATCACATATCTGATACCACTTTTTCAACAAAGATGCTCTCTTTTTTGATAAAAAAAAATGTAAGTCCGGTAAATAAGCCATGTTAACCCTTTGCACTCGGAGGTCCCATCAACAGTCACCACTTTAAAATTTAGAAATTTTATACTTTAATTAGTATCCACTTTATTTTAAGAATTTTAAAATTTTATAACAATAGTATATTGTGTATTTTAGATGCTATAGTGCTGATATTAAATCAAACAGCATTTTAAAATACTCTGAGTGCAAAGGGTTAACATCAACATGAATTCTACCTTAGACGTTATAGTACTTACTTATCAGCAACTGTGGTCATAGTATAGGAGCCTTACTGTGGTCAAATTAGAGCTGACGTAATGACAGCCAGAAAGACTAATTATACTGGATAACTGTAATTTCATTCTCTTGGATCAGTGACTTGTTTTCGACTAACTTTCGACCACTGCACAAAAAACAAAAACAAAATTTCTCTACAACATTAACTTTTGAACTACAATCCCAGGCGTACCAGAACTTGTCTAGACAAGCATGCAACTGTGATTAATTGCGTACTGCTTAATTTACCCTGAAGCAATTGGAAAATATTTAAGTTAGTCATTGATCATACGAAGCAATGATGCATCAATGATCTATCCCTCGGTTAGGGAGAATTTTTTTTTCTTTTTTAATTTTCTAAGTTTCAGGGCTGCTAATTTTTGGATGAATCACTTGCACTGGCGATGCGAAAGAGAAAATTGGTCTAATCATCGAAACATAAACCAATCGTTTCACCTGAGCTGTTTGTAACCCGGAAAAGAGAAAGCAAGAACTGGTAGTTCATACCTGCCTTGTTTTCGAGAAGAGTTAAAAATCCTTTACTGCCAGTTCGTGTTTTTTAGTTTTAATATACAATACATACACAACTATTTGTGATCTGGGGAAAAGAAATTAGTAATGCATGGCTTATAATTAAAAATGTAAAAGCTTTTTCATGTTACTGTTTCAAAAATCTTAAAATGAAATAGTTTTGGCACCAGTTTCTTCTCTTTTTTGGGAAACAAACAGCCCTGTTTTTTTTCTTTCTTTTTTTTTCTTTTTTATTTATTGATTTGGAGGAGGGGAGAGCTTGAAGTTTATTTATAGCTACAGTTGATTTTTCTTTACTTAGCGATGTCTACTCTTATACTACACGGGGGACCCATTATTGGGTCTGATACCATTAGTACAAAGGTACTTTACCCATTATTATACGGGACCCATAATTGGGTCCGGAAAGTAATATAGTTTCGGCGCTTTAAATAATCGTTAGTCTTATAAACCAATCTATTTTTTTCGATCGATCCGGCATTGAAAGGTGTTGCTAACGATGGTAAATACATTATTGATTAAAAAAAAAACCTTGATAACAAATATCAAATGCACCGAAACGAGATTACTTTCCCGTACCCCTAATATATTTGTTGAAATATTTTAGAAATAGTTTTGGGAAAGATCATTGTAATATAATTTTTTAAATTAAATATAAAATCAAACAATTTACTGCAATGTTTAAAATTGTAATGGAATTTCAATTAAGTAGTAGAATTACGATTAAGACAAGAAAAATACATTAGTTTCGTTTGCACTTATTAAAGTCACTGAATTATTATCAGATGAGTAATAATTTTTTTTTCAGTATACTTTTTTTTAAAAATATTTATATGTCGTGACAGTCAAAAATACTTTTAATCAAATATATTTACCTCTTCCCTCGAGCTCTCTTCGAAATCACGGGATGAGCTTTCGTCTCCTATTTCTCGTGTCCGTGATATTTTCGGGCTATAACCGGGCTAGAATTAAATCTACCCATTTCTTTTGTGTCTTTTAAAATTTTTTTTATACCTTACTTTACACACTAGATGACTGTGGAAGCATACTTTTAATGTAACTGGAGATAGTTAATTTCAAACTGGATGTCAGAACTATCCAAATATATGTATTTGTGATATGTATTTTCTACTCTTAGCTCAGCTACTTATTCTCTTTTTGAATACACGTAGTTTGTGTTCGGTAATGAAATATTTTTAAATATTGTGCACATTATGGAGTTAGAGTTACATGGACATATGAAGTTTTAAATTTGAAGCTAAAAATAAAAAATCCAAAATGAATGCATATATTGTACATACACCTTTTTAATATACTTTTTGGAATAAAGAAAAGGCACTTTTATGACCATTTTCTGGAAAATAATAAGATCGTTAAGGGGTTAAACCAAAAACAAGTTTTAAAATATAAATCTGCCACCACTTTAATTATATGAGAAAAAGCAGCAAAATACCAGCAAATCTACAGTATTATTATAACAGTAGTTAAGACATTCAGTCAACTGTTGTGATGACAAAATATTTCATTAATAGCACAAAGAGTACCTTTATGTTAAAAGTGGTACGACATTTATGCTTAATTCAGAGCTTGAACAGTCCATTAAAAAATAAAAAATATTGTGAATATTCTAATAAAAATGTTTAAAATTTCTTTTATGAGCTTCCAGTTTTATCTTAAAAATACAAGTAATTCAATTTTGATACTAGATGTGTTTATTTGGAAAAACTAAGCATAGTGGTGGACACAAATTTAAAAAAATACATGTTATTTTGTAACTTTTGCTACCAGTTTTAAAATTTTAAGAACCCTGTTTAATTATAATTTTTGCTAGTATCGACTACCTCATTAGTTACGAACTATCGCAATCACAAATATTTCAGAAATGTAAATGTGTAACATCACATTTGTAAAATACTAGACGATATAATCACGAACAGACAAAACTTCAGTTCTGTCAAAGATAGATACCAAACTTTTATTCTCAAATGTAGATATTTAAATTATAAATGTACCGAGGTTGATAAAAAATAAAGGAAACATTTCTATACAAAATCTATGTAAATAATTTTTCTTTTAGAAACATATGTTACGGTGTGTCATCCAAAATCTTTCAAAACATTTACTTCTAAAAGAAAGATTAATTGTATAGAGTTAGTATTGAAGTGTTTTCATTTTGATCAATCCCTGTATGGTATACACAAGTGTTTTGATTTTCCCGGATAAATTTCATGAATGAAACAAGATTTTGTCTTTATCTTCTTGAAAAAAAGAATTTCGAATCGTTCACTTTTAAATAATTCCCTGTTTTCCTTAAATAAAATAGTGGCAGCAGAAGTTTTTAATAGCGTGTTAGTTGGCAGCCTTACTCCCCTCCAGAACTAGAACAAAGGGGCATTTCGTATGCACTTATGAATTATTTTTATGTCGTGGTGAGAATATCACTTTAAATCAAATTTTTAAAACAAATAACCGTACATAAAAACACGAACTTAGCTACCACTAGAATAAATTTTCCCCAAAAGCATAGAAAGTTCACGGTCCTGATAACGTAAATATTTATATTTGAGCCTGACAGCAACTCAAGCTGTTTGTTAAGGTAAAGTGGAAGAGAATAGACATAAATAATCCACTTAGCATAAACTAAGAAGCACTGCAACTTCTTAAGTGCAAGTGCTTTTTTATAAATAAACCAGTTTTCTTTCGGCTGAGCATTAATGGTTAAATGAGTAAATAATATTAAAGACCAGTAATTAATTATTTTCTCTCTCTTCACAGAACTTCCTCTGGAATCGGATTTGAGACATTTAGAAAGTGATGAATTCTGCGTATCGACGAGAAAATTCGCTGCTGGTATTGCTGTTGCTGGAATCCTTCTCATGCTGGCAGTCATGTTCCTGGTAGTGTGTGTTCTCCACAAACGTCGACGTAGGAAAGGTGCTTCATCGGCATCGTCTATTTACTCTGGGCCTTATTCTAATCATGCTTATTCTAGGGACTAGATAATTTAAAATTAGTTCATTTTGAAACATTGTCATAACTGTTAGTTCTTCTTTTACTTTTTTTTTTAACAATGTCTTTCACCTAAGCCATGCTTAATCTCTGGATCAGGGTTTGGCTCTAGCTTATTAAAACTTTAATAGTGATTGTAAATTCAAGATGATGCTAGTTGCAATTGTTTCATAGGATACCGCTATAATGTTTGCAGGGCTGCCAACTGCTCCGCTTTCTACAAAATATTTGATAAATGAAGACTTGAGAAAGATTAGCTAATTTCGCCATCACCTTAAACGGTTCATCACTACATAACTAAAATAAAATTTAGTATGAACCTTCAAATAATTTATATGTAGTCGTCTACAACATCAAAATCAATTAAATCAAATTTACTTAACCAAGAACAACAAATTAAAACATACATTTTGCTACGTTATTATAAGGGTGTTATACAGGAAAGTTGCAAAGTTGTTATACAGGAATATTTTTTTTACGAAATGACAAACAGGTCTGCCAACTTTCTAAGCTTTTTTTACGAAATTACTTTGAGTGGTAACTAAGTTTATCTTTTAATGCATAACTCTTTGGTTTGTAAATTTGATTTAAAGGTATTTTCCACGCCACTGAATGGAAATAATTCTAAAGCTCATAAGAATCGGCTCTTTTTTATAGCTCTCTCGTAATGGAGCTTTTAAAATGTTGGCAAACGAAAATTCTGAAAGCTTTAGAGTTTAATTGTCTATCATTCTATAAAAAATTTTGCAAAAAGCATAGTACTTGGTAGCCCTGAATATATAGTGGTGAGAAATGAATAAAATAATCGAAGTTTATCTCCTTTTAGAGACCTCTAGTATTATTTGTTATTTGAAATATATTTTCGAAAACTATTACACATATTACAATAATTGATGCACGACATTAAAGAGAAGATTTCTTATGGTTTTTATACTCCCATATGTTTGATAAGTTTCTAATATGTAAACATTTAACATTCAGCATTCCATTGTCACCTCAGCGATAGCATCAATAGTCACCATTTTCAAACTTAAAAATTTCGTTACCTCATTATTTTGTGATCATCAGTTGTTTTATAATATTGCATCACATATTTTTAAAAAAATAGTTCTTGCATTAATTAAAATTGCATTTTAAAGTGCATGCAAGTGCAAAAGGTTAATCTGTTATCTTGTTCGCTCCACACATTTCACCAATGTTTCTATCACTATCAATTGTCAGTTCTTTAAGTCACGGTGTCAATTCTTCAACCTCTCACAATTCACAAACCTTGAAGGTTTTAATCTACAGTGCGCAAACAAATAAACGGAGCATATTGAATTATTCTTGATCTGATGATCAGTTCTTTACGTTCTAGGATTCAATCTTAATGGTTCGAGGGCATGACCTCATATATGCTAATCAAATAGCGCAGCTAACTAATTACGAAATTACTTATATTTTAAGTTACGAAATCAGACTTAAAAATATACTTTCTCTGAATAAACATGCCATTTTTTTTTCAGAGAGAGACCAGTTTCGGATTTCTGACCCCACAAAATACCGGGAATCTGGAAATAATTCCACTATAATAAAAATGTCCAATAGTTTCGTCAGAAGAGTGATCTAAAGTTTGGACAAGTTAATATTAATTTTAATTTTTGCGTATTTAGCCATATTTCGCGTACTTTTTAAGTGAATTGAAAAATGTTTGCATCTAATTATAAATTTGTTCAAAATTATTAAATTTAAAAATTTTGAGTTGAAAGATATACAATTTCTTATACAATTTCAGAGAATGTAATTTTACGTGGCAAAATGTAAAATTTAAACAAAATCGAATAAAGAATGTAAAATTACATTATTTAAAATTATGTAAAAAAATTGCAACTCAAAATACTTTTAGCCGTTAAAAATAAAATTAAAAAAAATAATAAATACTTATTAAAATTATTTTTTGCATGAAAATATCTTTGAAATTTTTTTAGCAAATTTTATAATTGAGGGCAAATTTTTTTTCAATTCTTTTAAAAAGTTCTCCGGATATGGCGAAATACGCAAAAAGTAAAATTAACATTGAGCCTTCCAAACTTTGGACTGCTTACTTGACCAAACAATCGTGACCATATTTCCAAGATTGCGGCTACCTTCTATATTTTAGAGGTCAGAAACCCAAACTTGTCGGAAAAAAAGTATGTTTATTTAGTGAAAGTACGTTTTGCGTCTGATTTCGTAATTTAAAATAAAGTCTGCACTAACTAATTAGCATATTTGAGGTCACCTGCTCGAGCCATTAAGATTTGAGTCCTAGATCCGATCATTAGATCAAAAAATTATTCAGACTGGTCCTTTTTTTTCGCACTGTACCCCATAAAAAATTATATCATGGCGATAAGTCCATTGATCCTGATAGCCATGGGATTGAGGATTAATCACATGCCTACAAGCTGAAGACTTAAATGAGCCATCGATGCCTTAAATTTTACTACAGTTTATAAAACACATTAGTGTAGTCTTAGAAATGTATGAAATGAACTTAATTACCTATTAAATGTTTCTTATATACAAAAGGGTCAATTAACTGGAAAAAGAAATAATCAGTATAATTTACTTTAACCCTTTCTGGAACAGCAAATTTAAATTGAAAATTTTAGTCGGGCAGAAAATTAGAAAGTGCGACCTTTGGCTGTTCATTCTGAATAAAGCGACATGCTTTAGTTTTTGTTGTTTTAAGAGCAGTGGTTGCTGATCTTCTAAAAGCAATTAGTTTTACATATCCAGTGGTTTGAAACATTTGTAGAAATTGTGTTGCCATACGGGTTACATTGCACTGGAAAGAGTTAATGTGCTTTGTCACTTGCAAAGATTCTTGATTTTTACACGAGATTTTATTTTCAAAGTGGCAACAAGATGTATGTGTCAATGTTTTTATCTTTGTTTACGCAGTTGATGTGTAATGATATTGACCTCCAATGCATACAAATAATTTCAATAAATATATGAAAGTTTGCATAGAAATCTTTTAAAAAAATAGTGAAAAGGGCTGTAAACGTCCTCAGGTGCGGAGATAAATTTCGATGATGATGATCTTAACCCTTTCTAAGTATTAACCCTTAAATTATTAACCCTTAAAAATATTTACCTTTTCTAAGGCCGTGGTAAGTATACTTACCACCAATTTTTAAAGTCCATGGTGAACTTTTTTACCACTTTTAATATAGATTTCCATTTGTTAATAATTTCAGCTTTCTTGAAGCGCGTTTGAATAAAATTGGTAACCATTTGTTAGTTTACGGAAAGTTATAGAATACATAATTCCTTTTGAAGTTTGCAGCATTTCTAAAATATATTTAATAAATAACGAAAAATAAATGTCAATTAGTTCCTTATAGGTCGTGGTAAATATACTTTAAAATTTAGATACATTTTTTATAAGCTAAATGAGTTTTTTTTTTTTCCTTATATGAATTCTTATATCAATTTCAATTCCAAAAATACTTTAACTTACCTTTATTAGAAATAAATGGCCCATTAGAGGGTTAAATGTTTGTAGAATTAAAATTATTCCTGCTTACAGTTGTAAAATCAATTGTCATGTATAACCAATATCATCTATATACCACCACTACAAAGAATATTAAACAAAAAGTGTATAAAACAGCAGCAATACGATTACTGTAATATGTGTAATAGTTTAGAAATTATTAGTATTTAAAAACTGATCCTTTATTTGTACGAATTTTGTACATTTTTCTAAGCCGAATGCCGACCCTGCTTGGAATTACATCGACTGCAAACAATATGGAATTTCAGATTATATGTTGTTCTTTTCAGCAATCCACTGCATATTTATTGTCTGGAGAAATTCTTCCCCTTTGTTAAGTCATAATACCAGATAAGAATGTTTTGTTTACAGAAATTTGTACATAAACTCAAAAATTACAACAATCTGAGAAAAAGATAGCCCACCTAAAATAGTAGGCTAAATTTCAATGTGAAACCATTTAAAAATACAATAAGAAACTGGGGTAACAGTCTGTGACAATTAGTTTGTTATTTTTAAAATAAAATAATTTCTGTTACTATAAAACATTTCAATCAGATATTTGCTATTTCTGTGATTTAAAATTTAAAAAAATTGTACAGTTTTGTACTATTTACTTTTTAAAGTAACTTCGTAAATTTTTTAATTTAAATTAATTTTAATTTTTTTTTTCAATTAGAGTCTAGAGTAACAAGTCAGTAAAAAGTTGCTAGGATATAATTCAATATTCAAAATCAATATATGTTAATAAATGTTTTTTTTAGAATTAAATGTTTCAGTAAATAATAAGTGCTTTATTTGTGTTACTCGAAATTTAGAAAATAGTGCAGTTTTTCGCTTTTTGCTTTTCAAAAGCAATTCGTAAGTTTTTAGATTTACAATTTAATTTAATTTTTCTTTTTTATTCAGACAAAAAATGCTACGTCAATAAAATGTTTCTAGATTAAAATTCAATTTTCAAAATCAATAATTATATGCTATGAAATATTTTTCACGAATACATGTTTTGTAGCGAGTAAAAGAAACGATAAGTCATTTTAATAGCATAAACCAACGATTTCTGTATTTTTTTTTGGCAGTACCCACATTTTATAAATAAAATTTTTTAAGATAATTGTGAACGTTATAATCTATAAAAGACTATTTTAAAAAATTTAAAATAGAAGGATGAAGAATTTTTATAGTTCTAAGATAATTAGGTTATTGTTTTGCTGATAAAACATAAAAAAGCACAATACTTATTTTCATCAGTTTCTCAGGTTGTTTTTTATAACTATTATTATGATTATAAAACGTTACAATATTCAACTTTTAAAAACCCGTACTTTTTAGTTTATAACACATTCATACCACTGTAACACATTTTATTACCGAAGTGCCAAAAATGGAAATAATTATGAATTCATTTTTTTTTATTCTTTTAATTTTATTTTATTCATTTAATTTATTTCAAATGTTAACTAGCTGTTAATGATATGTAATGAATCTTTTGGCAATGATTAATCACATTTTTTAATTTAATCTTGTTCAGCACTTCATAAGAATTATTTATGAACATCTCCATGATTGAAATACATATCATTTCAGTATTCTGTATTGGTGTTCTTACGACAGTATTTAAAGAATTTTTTTATGTGCTTTATACTTTTTCCAACTATTTACAATTTTTATATGTATGTATTATGTGTTTTATTTATATTTATGATTTTTTTAAAAAGAAAAATCCAGCCCAATCCTAGGCAGCTAATGGATATGGATTTGTATAATGAAAATAGCTTACCGTTATGTAAGTACAATGCTTGCCATGCACCGTTGAATGTAAACAGTACGCTGAATCATGTTATTGTTATAAACTATTCCTACTATAACAGGTTTCATACATTCGTGCTTTAGGTCTTTTCGAAACGTCGGTTTCTTTTCCAAAAAAGTAAAAAGTGGTAGCAGCAGTTTATTATTAGAAAAAATTAAATTTGGTCTCGAAGTTGGGCTTTTTGTTGTTCAATGAATAGTGGATGATAACGAAGCCTTACATTTCTAGTGACTTGTAACACATTTTTGAATTATTCTTGCTAGATTGGCTTCTCTGCAACAGAAAAGTTTAAGAAATATGACGTGAAGAATAGCGCTACGAAGTATGACATTAGGAATAACATTACGAAATATGACGAGAAGAATAACAGTATGAAATATGGCATTCATCGTTAAGAATAACATTGTTGAGTATGCTGTTGCGAAAAACATTACGAAGCTTTAAAAATAAATTAAATTTTAGTAGTGCATTGCAAGCATTGAAACTAAATGTAAATAAGTTCCGAGACGGATGTAGAAAGAACAGAAAAAGCAGTTTTATTGGGTTTTAGGTATAAAAGGGGTACTAAAAACTGACCTTAAAATCCTAGATCCGTTCTTGAGTAACAAATATTTTTGTACGGGCTTCGTGGTGTGCAAATTGTTCTTAGATAGTGAATGTTGAATTTGAAAAATAAAACTATTTTCCTACAATAAGCACACGACGATTATTATATTCATTGCTGGCCATGTTAAAATACTGCTATGTCTGTGTCTTGAGTAGGAAAATAGTTTCTTTTTTTCAAAACAGCTCCAAGTGTAAGATACTTTATTTCATTTTTTATTTATTCTCATTGAAAGTTATTTTACATTTGGAGCCCCCTATTTATTAATGTAGCTTTCATTTGTGTTTGTTATTTTGAATTGTATCAGACCATGTTGTTGTTTTTTCCTGAAATAAAAATGGTTGCCTTTACTGTTTTGTTCCATTCTTTCCTACAATGAAAGTCTAATTTTTTTTGACAGAATGTCACTAATAGCAATACATATCTTTATTCAAAATTCGTGTCTCTATTCACTTCCTATACCTCTCTACAAAGAAAATATCAACGAAATATTTAGACTTACTAATCAAAGACAAAACAGTTAAAGCGAAATAAACTATCTTTAAGAGACCTCATTACCACAATAAAACTTCATAATTTAACTAAGTTTATTGGTTTGTTATTACTGTGAAATCAATTGTTTTTATTGGACAATAATGTAAAATTCTGATTAATTTTTTTCAAAAAAAAAAAGTGGTAGAGTATTTATCCTTTAACTCATTAGGTCTAGCTTATAAAGATACATAATATACAAAGATGCCAACTGCTCCGGACACGCCAAAATAACGGATATTGTACCTTAACACGTTCACTCCGGGGTGACCCACCGATGGGTTACGCTAGATTTTCTCATCTTGCGGTGCACCGGAGTAAAAACTGATAACAAATAAATTTTATTTTTTAGTTTTTTTTCCGGGAATAATAAAAAT